AAAGGAATAGTGTAGGAAAGCAACAATGATATATTGTAGTGTTAACAGAAACGCCTGCATGCAATCGTGGTAGAAAACGGCAGCAAATGTTGTAACTTTTCTATACAAAGTTGCCATAACTATGATTGGCAGTTGACACCAACGCAAAATAGATTGCAGTCAAATTGGACATGCTTTCACGTGGTTAAAGTCACATTACCAGTAACAAGGTAGATTTTAAATTGATAAGTTTTTGCATGGAAACTATTTTAACCGGCAACTCCTTCCGCGTGGAATAAAAAATAATAATAGGTAGCCTATGTGTTTTTCCAGACAATCCTCTACACATATGCGAAATTTCTTCGAGATCCGTTGCAGTTTGGGCTACATAATCTAACAAACATCACTACAAACAAACTAAACTTAGGTATTTATATTATCAGTAAAAATTAAGATAATTCAAATTTGCATTAAAACTAGGTTCGAGAAAAAAATATTTAGTAAGAGACGAGGAAACGCTTTTGTGACAGAATAAATCACGAATTTTCCTTGCCGAAACAATCTACCGTACACAATCTTACTAATATTATATTTTCGATAGTTTATGGTAGATGGATGGATGTTTATTAGAGTTTGTGGCCTAAATGGTTGAACCGATCTCGATGAAATTTGGCACATATGTAGAACATAGTTTGGAAGATCACATAATCTACTTTCTTTGGTTTTTTTAATCCTCGCGAAGAGTCAAAGGCGAAAGCTAGTGGAAAACATACACATACAAACTAATCTATACTATTATAATAAAGCGTAAACACACACTTCTTTGTTGCCTAAGATGTCAGCAATTACAGCATGTTTTTGAATAATTCCTTTTTTAATAACAAGCCCTACACTTACGTCACGCTTTAGGCTATATATTTTCACGCCATTAAACTTAGGGGTAAATATTTTGGAAAAATACCCTAATGTCGGAAAGAGACCATAAGTAGCTGTCAACATCAAGGAAGCAAGGTTGCCATGGTTTGTCATCGTGTCACGTCATTTTGACATTTGCAATTGATAATTTGACACATGTAAACAATATAATAAAATTTTCATAATTTTATGCGGATGAAGTCGGGAACGGGAACAGCTAGTTCTTCAGATTAACACTAATTTCATAGGTTCGACAGCTAAAGTATTGACTTTGTGAATGTAATTTCATCCATTGGGATGTTTACCAACCATTTTGCAATTTCAGCGACTAAATGTCGCTCGCAAAGTTTTCCTGCAAACATATTATCTTACATTCCTTTTCATAAATATTTTCTATTAAAAATCATTCGAGAATTACATGAAAATGATTGATGAAATTAATGGAATACAAAAAGCAAAGATATTCTATTTACTTTTAATTTATATTCTCATTGGAATTTAAATTACGAAATAAACTTCGCAAATTCCTTCAAACAACCATCTGTCGCTACCAAAGTTGATAAGGTCAATACAGTGAAATAAATTCGTCTTTTAATAATCAAAAGCGCGTTGTAATTAAAAAGATTAAGCCAATACTTAGATGTGACCGGGGGTATATTGCTATGCAAACTTTATCTCTGCTCGCTATCACATAACCGCTGCATACCGCACTTACGTATCGCTAATTTAGTTACAGGAGAGCATATTCATTAATTTATCTCTACTCGCTGCAGACCTACATATAGATTGTTGATTAACGACACCACAGAGATGATCAACGACGCCCATGGACATCCGCAATACCAGAGGAACTACAGATGCGTTGCCGGCCTTGTGTGGGAAACACTATGAAGTGAGAACCTTCAAGACTATTTTAAGCCTTACTTATCACAACATAAAAATAAGGCGAATCGTAGTCATAAATATATCATAAAATTAGAGCTACAACAATCATCAATAAAATAGATGCTCTTGGTTTTACGAGCGTGCATAAAGTTTGAATGTTATAATACCCAGCGGTTATTTGCGGTAATTGTGATGATTGCCGTCTTAAGAGTTCCCAATTGATGCCCCGCCTCTGTGCTGCGGCTTGTCGCTAACAAGCGCTACGAAAGCCTGGGGCGGATTCTGATCGCAAAAAATTCAAATTGGTAAACAAGCTTACATACTTATCTTTATAACAACATAGATATACTAGCTTTCGCCCGTGACTCCGTCCGCGAGGGATGTAAAAAAACAAAAGTTTAGTTAGCTTATGTGTTCTTCCAGAATATCCTCTACATCTATGTCAAATTTCATCGAGATCCGTTCAGCGGTTTAGGCTACAAACTTTAACAAACATCCATCCATCTAAACTTTCGCATTTATAATATTACTATGAAGTATGATTGCTTCCATGCATGCAATCAAACTTCATACTAATGTAGATATGTATAATACAACAAAGAAATGTAAATATGCATAATCTTGACTTTTTTATGGCGTGCAACTCAAGACATAAGTTCTTAAAAAAATTGTATAATATACACGTGTGTAATTTTTTTTTAAATTAAATTCTATAATCAGAATACGGACCTGTGGGAGTACTATTGACTGCAATCAATGAGGCATTGTGAACATTGGGCAACTCTGGTATCGACTTAGACCACGTCGGCCATCGCAATTGATATAAACTAGCCACAAAGCCGAGCACTAAAGTACTTCGATGGAGTAAACACTGAGCAAGGACATAGCTATTAAACGGAACTATAAAAGTAGCATAATTAGTGCTTATTAAAAATGAATATTCATCAATCTAGTCCAATCAATAGAGCATTTTTTATTGAAAAGCAAAGTTGATTTTATACTGGTTTGAATTACATTAGTTTTCGTGTTTTAATTAGTTACTCAAATGTATCTTTAATAAAAGTTTTGATATTCATAAAAATGTTATAAATGCGAAATTTTAGATGGATGTTTGTTATAGTTTCTAGCCAAAATGACTGAACGGATTACAATAAAATTTGGTATGGATGTAGAAGTCTGTAAGAACACATAGACTACTCACTTTTGTTTGTTCGTCCACCCAGACGAAGTCGCGGGTGAAAGCTCGTTTATTAATAAGAATATAAAGCAGATTACAGCTGTTTTATTGTCAAAGGTAATTGAACTCTGGTTTTCGAAGATAAATCTTAAAGTAATTAATTAACAAAATCTATGTTCTTCAAAATTTTTGCAAATTTACGTTTACAAAAATAGTCTGGATAAATGCTTGTAATAAGTATCTGCAATTACTGTTTTTGCGAAAATTTAACGCTTCACGGTCCAGTGTCACGGACCATTTGTTTCTCGGCCGTTGACTTTATTTTCATTGAATGTTAAAAAATCATCACTATTGAAAATCGGATTATTAGCTATGAAAACTACTAAAAAAAAAAACAGCTTATCTTTAGTTTTATGATCATATTTTTTAGGTTATAAAATCCATTGACAACAAACTGTTTAAAATTTTTAACATCTATTCAATTCAATTTCAATTTAATGCTTCATTAAAGAACAAAAACAGATGTCCTCACCATTTTATTTAATCTGTAGAATATCCTAAATGGATAAGTAACGCGATCCGACCTTTTACAATCCGTTTATAGTAAATCAATAGTACAATTTTAGGAACTGATTTTTGGATTATGACGCAACAATCTATACTATGAACACATGTAACTCTCAACATATTAGTGGATGTATGATATTCTATCAAAAGGAACAATAGTTAAAACCATTATAACATGATCTTAGTTATATTGAGAAACGCATATGAGCTTTGTGTATAGACCAGGGATAGCGAAAAAATGGCACGAACGCCATAAATGGCACACGACATAATATTTTGGGCACGTCGATAATAAAAATACTATGAAAACCTTTTGAAGCATGTGCATGGAATTGACGTAATAATCGCAATCAAAATTATTCGATGGCACGTCTAAGACTGCATTACAAATTTCTTAAAAAAAATGGTACATTCATGCAAAAATATTCGCCATCAATAAACAAAAGATCGATGGTAGGACATGATCTTTCAAGGTCAGAGACACGGGTTTTTGGCAAAATACAGTACAAAAATCCGTTGTTCAATATTTTTTTTTCCTAATTTGAATATTAAATGATTCACAAACTTGTAATAAGATATTTGTAATTAGAAACTTTTTTAATCAAACATTTAATTAAGTACACACCATTTTTTCGAATAGAAGCCATATTACAGAGGGCTTCTTTCTAAATTAATACAAGAGAAACAGTATCTTCGATTAGGGACATCAAATGCGTCATAGCAAATCGATGACAGTGAAAAGACTTCAAAAGGTTACTTCTACACTCAGAGTTAAATATTTATTTAAAATAATAAGTAATAACTAAGTAAAGATATTTAAATTAATAACCAAGCTTTTTAGAAAATACCTTTAATTAAAAACTAACTAAGACAACGAAATTTAGAAATACCCCACTTCGTATTTGTACTTACCACAAACTTCTTTCCAAATGTCGAAGTTCTACAAAGTAAAACGTCTTGAAAGCCATATAACTGAAAATTCTCAGATAGAAACTTTTACGTGTGCTAAGTTTTATAAGGTACGAAAAATTAATATAATTTTTGGGTCAGGCTGTAAAGAAATTAGGCGTTTCGAATTGTACGACCGGGATTCGGGAGCTTCATAAATAGTGCGGTGAAAGAACTGTCGATATATTTAATGGCAATTTCCGTTTTTTTTTTCATTAATATCAACATTAGTGAACTAATAAAGGAAGAAACTATTTGATTTGTGTAAAGGAACCGGTTTTTACATGTAACTGCGCTAATAAATAGGAGAGGTAATGTTTAGTCTCGTTTAATCAACTTCTATAAAATACAATTACTTTAAATAATTCAATAACTTTTACTGTTGTTTGTGAGAACTGTCTGTTAAATCTAATGTTGTAGTTAAAAAAAGAAAAGTGTTAAATTATTATAGTTTGAATTTTAAGGGTAAATTGGGCGTCGATATGCTGTCCATCCCTAGTGGGCGCGCGTCACCAGGCCCAGCCCGCGCCCGCCAAACGGCAGTGCCTTACGCGGCGTGCTCGCGGTCATACGTGTCTTATGTCGTGATAGTTCAGTGAGTGAGTGCAGCCATGGGTTGCGCCCGGGGGCTCTGCACCGCTGAGAAGATCTTCATATTCATCAACATAGCATTCGCGGTAAGGAAATCCTTTAAAATATCTATTTTAATTCATACTTTTCATCTAAACGCATTCGAAATGTCAATATAAACACTGGCTTTGTCAATTCAAATCCCGAAAGAGCTTCTGTATTAAGATAAATTATGCAACGATTAGTCAAGTGCATGGTTGCTTTAATTGTTTAATGTCGGTTAGGTTTACTTTTTTAAAAAATAACGATCAACATTGTCAAAAATGCAGAAAGCGATGCGCGTTTAGTATCAGTTTGTGCATTCACTCCTTCCCTCACGTTTTTTGTTCCCGAGCTACCTGATTGTGGGTTCCATTTTATTTACCATCCAAAAAGTCTTAAGATCCGATTGATTTCAACGAACTTGCTATCGGATATTATTCATAAATTCTCCAACGAGAACTTGATTGTATTTTTAGTAACCAAATATTTAGCTTTGTTGTAGACTGTCCTGATTTCTTGTTATTTTATGCATGTTAGTTTGAGGTTTTTGTTACTGTCATTTTTAAATTTACTAAGTAGGTATACTTTCGTATATTTCAATGTAAAAAATAAACCAATGTTAATTAAATACAGATGTTCATACCCTTTTATATTTGAAACATAACGAAATCTGAGAAGTGAATACTAAGTTCTTATTATTTTCAATTACAACGGTTAAAAAGACAGTAAATTATATGAAAATGTTTGCCTGCACTTTATAAATAAATCAAATAAGTTAATGTCTTTAATATAAATACCCAGTTCTTACACTTTTAGTTATTGGATTGATTTTAGTGTCCGTATTTGTGTAATCGTGTGGCATGTCACAGATTATCTCAAGGGTCATGCTGTTACAATTGCTCCACTGAGCTGAGTAACCGCCGCGAAGACGTCACCAAAACTCAAGTGGGCTTGTTAACTGTGATAGCTGCATATTTGAATACACGTGAATGATATACTATCTTTAATAAGCTATAAGTATAGCTTTACTACATTTTTGACGTCGTTTCACTCTTTGTCTACTGCTGGACAATTTAAACACATTCTTTGCCTCTCTTATTCAACTCTGCATGATGAGTCCCGGATAGTGGTCTTCTATATACTAATATTATAAGAAGGGGAGATTTTTGTATCTATTGCAATAACTACAACTTCATACTAATATTATAAATGCGAAAGTTTAGATGTGTGGATGGATGTTTGTTAGAGTTTGTAGCCTAAATGGCTGAAGGGATCTCGATTAAATTTGGCAAAGCTGTAGAGGATAGTTTGAATGAACACATAGTCTTGCTTTTGTTTTTTTATTCCGCGCGGACGGAGTCGCAGGCGAATGCTAGTATACTAATAATATAAGGAGGGAAGATTTTTGTATGTATTTCAATAACTAAAACTATTGGGCCGATTTCCAAAAATCTTTCACCATTAAAAAGCTACGTTATCAGTGAGTAACAGATTATATCTTTTTTTTCACGCGGTCGAAGTCGCGAGCAACAGCTAGTTTATATTTTTTCTCGAAGATCTTGGTTTACTAATTTATCACGACAAAAATAGATACCTCCTGATTGTCGCTAACTCGAATGTTAATTTACGTTTGTTAAATAAACAAAACCGATAACTACTGATGTCTCTAAAATCTAAAATCACTTGAAATTACCAGATTTTTGAAACATGCCTATTACAATTTCTTTCATTCATCCAAAAACTTTAGATTTAATCTAGAGATAATCTTATAATGCGATCGTTAAAACAATTTAAAAAAACTCTTAACAGAGTTTTGTTACGATAATTTTTTTAGAATTGTCTTAAGACAATCGTAAATTACTTGAACAATAGTTACTTAATACATTGAATTGTGCTAAATTATCTAAACACGGCTAAACGACCTTCGACAAATGTGCTGAAAATTTTCGTAAGCGCAATGAGACAACATGCGATGCGATTGCTGAATTAGCGGTACACGAGGTCAAATACATTTCGTCCATCATAAGGGTTCAAATAATGTTGGTTATGAGACTTAGAAAGAGATGGACTGAAAGATGACAATATCAAGAAAGGAGTGATGAAAACAGCTGTAAAATCTGTCATCTATCTATACTATTATAATAAAGCGTAAACACACACTTCTTTGTTGCCTAAGCTAACTTAAGCCTAAGCTATTGCCCGAGACTTCAGCTGCGTGAAATTTAAAAAAATAATAAATAAGCGAAAAAATATAGCCTATGTTACTCACATATAAATTACCTTTTTAACGGTGAAAGAATTTATAAAATCGTTCCAGTAGTTTTTGAGCCTATTCATTACAAACAAACAAACAGTTTTCCTCTTTATAATATTAGTATAGATATTTGCTGTGCTGACGTTACACTGTGACGCAGGACAAAGAGCGTGGACATCCCCGTCTTTAAACTCAACAAATGTCACGTATTGTTTACTCAAACAAGATACAAGTTATAAAATATCCATAAGCTAATATTATTGTATCCAAAGAGGTCAAGGTTTTTCTTTCAACTGTTTACTGATTAATAATTTAAAACATTGTTAGAGCGTTCACATCGTAGACTAAACCATCGCACAACTGTTTAGTCACTTTGATTCCTATAAGCTTATATGGAGGTTATTATTTTAACAGTGGTAGAGCCCGCTTTAACATCTTCGCACGAATTGGCCGGCTTGCCCGATGCAATACCACGACCACACAGAAAACAGGCGTGAAGTGGAAGTTAATTCCGCGTTTCGTCTGATGAGTGTGGTGCCGGAGGCCTAATTTTAATCCCTTCCCCTTTCCACCCTTCACTTAAGAGAAAAGTATGGGAAGGAAGAGTGGATTTGATGGAGGAGACGCATAGGAAGGGGAAATATTATGGGAAGGAGGATTGTATACGACGGAGGAGGAGACGCATATAAAAAGGATATTTCCCCTTCCTATGCATCTCCTCCACCGTCAAATCCACTTCCCCTTCCCATCCTCTCCTTATAAGAAAAGGGTGGTAAAGAGAAAGGGACTTAAATTAGGCCTCCGGCACCACACTCATCAGACGAAACACGGAATTGCTACCATTTCACGCCTGTCTTCTGTGTGGTCGTGGTATTACACCGGGCGTGCCGGCCCATTCGTGCTAAGATGTTAAAGCGGGCACTACCACTGTAACTGTACTAAACTGTACTAAACAGTTGACTGTTTCGAAACAATCGACAATCAAGTTTAGTCAAAAGTGTGCGCCCATTCTTAATGTGTGTTGTTTTTTAGTACTTAAAAATCCCTCTAGGTCGCATTTTAATTAACTAGTGACTAATTGCATGTTGTTTTTTATCTTGAAAGATAAAGAAAAAATTACGTAACAACTGTGGCCTTTATTTGCTGAAACATATACAAAAAAAATAGTTAATACGCCCAAATACTAAAACATATGTATATGCAACATAATGAACCACGTTAAAACTACTAATTCCATTAAATTTGTTGTCTGTCAGATTGTAAGCATGCCCTAAAACCGAAGTGTTTAAGTTTCGTTTCAGTGTTCTGCCGTCGTATAAAAAGAAGAAATATTTCGACAATGGGCCATATACCACAAAGTCTAAAACTCTTCAAATTAGCGATTAAATATAAATATAACTAATTTAAATATATGTTTAAATCTATTTTAATCAAAACTTGATCGCGTTGAGACAAAAAATTCCATTTATAACATAATACCAAAGAATTATTTATTTTAACATGCAAAAATTAACTCATAAATATTCTATTTGCGTGTATTTAGTTTACATAAAAACAGAAAGACAGTAAGCTTTGAACTTTTAAAAGCTTTGCGTCGAACTTTTTGAGGTAAGCTTCAGATGCCCATTTAAAATGGCGTCCCTTCTTGCGCTGACATTTTGTGGTCAAAAGCTCCTAAGTAGATAACATTTAATTAAATTTTTATTCTGCAATGTTTAGGTAATTTTCATAAAGCCTGCTATAATTTTGTAAAAAAAAATATTATTCAAACTGAGAATATTATTGCAAATACAAACAAAATATAAAGTGGAAAGATTTGTACGTATGTATTGTAATAACTCAAAAACTACTGGGCCGATTACAAAAAATCTTTCACCATAAAAAGCTTTATTATCAGTGAGTAACCGGCTATTTTTTTATTATTTTTTAAATTTCACGCAAGCCAAGTCGCGCGCAACAGCTATATTTAAAAATGAATATGTAAAAAGTATATCGAGTAAGGGTTTCGCAGCCAATTCAACTGTTTAGTTGCACATAAAATCGAGTAGTGATCGCACTTCTATATAAACTCATAGGAATCAAAGCGCGACTAAACAGTTGTGCGAGAGTTTAATTGTGCGCGCTTAACACGTGCTGACTTCTTTCCGTGTAACAAGTTACAACTCTTCGTAAAATCGGTCAGTACGCGCCTTCACACGATCTATGGTTTATGAATTAACTACTTTCGCTCGCGACTCCTCGTGGTATTAAAAAAAAAACTAAGTAGCCTATGTTTTCTTCTAGTCTATATTCTACATCTATACCAGATTTCATCGAGATCCGTTCAGCCGTTTAGGCTACAAACTGTAACAAACATACATCCATCTTAACTTTCGCATTTATAACATTAGTAAGAAGATTGAGATCAAATAAACAACAATATTTTTTCTCTAGACGAGACAACGACATTCCTTGAATTATTGATTAAGTTTACTCAGTAACAGTTTATATTTAAAATGTTTAAACGCAGTTCAATAGTTCGGGGTCAGCAGGTCTAAACACGAGTTGGGTGCTGGAAATAAGCAGGTAAAACGTGCTTAGAATTAAGTACTTCAAGTTTACATTCTAATTCAAGTAACTTAAATTGTATTTAAAAACTAGTGTTGTCGGCGACTTTTTACACGCAATTTTAACATAAAAGTAGAAGTGCCCGTCTGTCAGCTACCCTTCAGTGAAAGTCCGGCCGGTCGGCCCAGCCGTTTCGGAGATTACCGCGAACAAACGCCACTTGCGGACAGACAGATAGACAAAAAAAAATTAAATGCGATGTTC